CTTAAATCTCTGGAAGACTGAAACAGGTTTCCCTCAAGAATTTCCCTGTATTTAGCGCTATCCATCATTCCTTCAATTCTGACCAGTTTCCAGTCCCTGCCGATGAAAAACATCCCTACAGCATGATGCTGCCACCACCATGCTTCACTGTGGGAATGGTGTTCTCGGGGTGATGAGAGGTGTTGGGTTTGCGCATGACATAGCGTTTTCCTTGATGGACAAAAAGCTCAATTTTTGTCTCATCTGACCAGAGTACCTTCTTCCATATGTTTGGGGAGTCTCCCACATGCCTTTTGGCGAACACCAAACATGTTTGCTTATTTTTTTCTTCAAGCAAAGGCTTTTTTTCTGGCCAATCTTCCGTAAAGCCCAGCTCTGTGGAGTGTACGGCTTAAAGTGGTCCTATGGACAGATACTCCAATCTCCGCTCTGGAGCTTTGCAGCTCCTTCAGGGTTATCTTTTGTCTCTTTGTTGCCTCTCTGATTAATGTCCTCCTTGCCTGGTCCGTGACTTTTGGTGAGCGGCGCTCTCTTGGCAGGTTTGTTGTGGTGCCATATTCTTAAAAAAAATTTAATAATGGATTTAATGGTGCTCTGTGGGATGTTCAAAGTTTCTGATATTTTTTTATAACCCAACCCTGATCTGTACTTCTCTACAGCTTTGTCCCTGACCTGTTTGGAGAGCTCCTTGGTCTTCATGGTGCCGCTTGCCTTGTGGTGCCCCTTGCTTAGTGGTGTTGCAGACTCTGGGGCCTTTCAGAACAGGTGTATTTTTACCGAGATCATGTGACAGATCATGTGACACTTAGATTGCACACAGGTGGACTTTATTTAACTAATTATGTAACTTCTGAAGGTAATTGGTTGCACCAGATCTTATTTAGGGCCTTCATAGCAAAGAGGGTGAATACATATGCACACACCACTTTTCCGTTATTTATATTTTAGAACATTTTGAAACTATATTTGTTTCATTCCACTTCACCTATTTGGACTATTTTGTGTATGTCCATTACATGAAAAATCCATTTAAATTACAGGTTGTAATGCAACAAAATAGGAAAACGCCAAGGGGGATTAATACTGTTTGCAAGGCACTGTAGGCTATGGTACAGTACCAGCAGCAGCAAAATCCTTTAATTCATTCTTGCACTGAGAAGAGTGTATTTAAGTCTTGATCTGCGAGGTTCTGTGACGCAAAGCTATTTTAGGTCTTATTCAAATCTCTTTTGGGAGATGTGCTGTGAATCAAGTGGTGCCCCTCACCATGCATTATGCAGTGTTTGTGGACTTTCTTCTGCCTCCCAGCTCTCCTCCTCCCGCACTGTCTCCTCTCTGTCTCCCCCTTCTCTCTCCCCCTCTCTCTCTTTCTTTCACTCACTCACTCACTCACACACACACACCTTTTCCTTCTCACACATCCCTCCTTCCCCCTACACACATTGACACGCTGTCTCTCACACACACTGACTCTTCCCCTCACCCTCTCTCTCGATCTCTCTCCCTCTGACACTGCTGCATACTGACTAGATTTATAGCTGTGCTACGTGGGGGTTGGAGTCAGATGCAGGTAATGTGATGTGTGGACGAGGCGACTCATTTACCTACCATTTACCAAAAGGAAGGGGAGGCTGGCTGAGGAGATTATTTATTTCATGAGCCCCCATTGAGACTTTGTATGTGTGTGGGTGGAGTGACTGTGTGTGTGTGTGTGTTTGATGGAGGGATGGAGTGTGTGTATTTGTGTACACTTGCGTACACCTAGTGAATTATTCACATTTGTGGGCCTCACCTTGTAAAGCCTACGATTTAGGCTTGTAAAACACGAGCCTTAACTGGCAAAAAGCTTTCTGGATTAAGAACCGTAATCCACTTTGCTGCAATGCCCCTGCAATGCAACATCCTTTGTCCTTAGTCTCTCTGTGTGTGTGTGTGTGTGTGTGTGTGTGTGTGTGTGTGTGTCTATTTCACCAGTGTGCCAGCGAGAGGAAGGTGAAAGAACAAACACCGTTCTCAGCTCATGAAAAATAGGTGCTCTGATGCAGTCTTCTCCACTGAAGCAGACCTGCCAGTTAAATGTTTACAAAGGGAAAGGAAGAGCGACAAACAGGGTTGATTTAAATGAATTAGTTCTCATATAAATCACTGATCTTGTCTGCAGTCCATTATTATGGCTGTGCTCATACATTTAATGTGACGTGTATATATTTGATTTTAGATGAGCTCGCATTGTCGACATCTAGCCTCTTTGCCGGAGTGTTCATCAGTTAATTTGTTTGCCTCGCGTAACATCAAACACAGAGCCATTATTTAATCTAGAAAGTCAAAAAGTTAATTTGAGCACCATCCAATCCAACATGAAGACATTCTGTCCAGCGATGGTTGATCTCCCCTCGTTTTTTGGCCTTCTAAACTAAATTCTCAACCATCTAGGCATTTTCGGTTGTATAATGGTTGGGCGTAGGTTTTAAATCAGACCAACTGAAGGATTGCACCAGTTTTCAAAATGTTCTTTAGATGTTGCCCCACTATAATTTCTGAGACTGTTGTGTATTTGACAGGTAGCTGCCAAAATAAAGGAAACACCAGCATAAAGTCTCTTTAAATAGGACGTTGGGCCACCATGAGCCAGAACAACTTCAATGGGCCATGGAATAGATTCTACAAGTGTCTGGAACTCTATTGGAGGGATGTGACATTGTTCTTCCATGAGTATTCCATAATTTGGTGTTTTGTTGATGATGGTGGAAAATGCCGTCTCAGGCAACGCTACAGAATCTCACATTAGTGTTTCATTGCGTTGAGATCTGGAGACTGCCATGGCATAAGGTTTACATCGTTTTCATGCTCTTTCATTGACCACTCGTGCCCTGTGGATGGGGGCATTGTCATCCTATGGGGGCACAGCCATGGTAGAAGCCAAAATAATTGCCTGCCCAGCATCTTTATACATGACCCTATAGCATGATGGGATGTTAATTGTTTAATTAACTCAGTAACAACACCTGTATGGAAGTACCTGCTTTCAATATACTTTGTATCCTTCATTTACTCAAGAGTTTACATTATTTTGGCAGTTACCTGTACAGTCGTGGTCAAATGTTTTGAGAATGACACAACTATTAATTTTCACCAAGTCTGCTGCCTCAGTTTTTATGATGGCAATTTGCATATACTCCAGAATGTTATGAAGAGTGATCAGATGAATTGCAATTCATTGGAAAGTCCCTCTTTGCCATGAAAATGAACTTCATCCCCAAAAAACATTTCCACTGCATTTCAGCCCTGCCACAAAAGGACCAGCTGCCATCATGTCAGTGATTCTCTCGTTAACACAGGTGACAGTGTTGACGAGGACAAGGCTGGAGATCACTCTGTCATGCTGATTGAGTTAGAATAACAGACTGAAAGCTTTAAAAGGAGGGTGGTGCATGAAATCATTGTTCTTCCTCTGTTAACCATGGTTACCTGCAAGGAAACACGTGTCGTCATCATTGCTTTGCACAAAAAGGCCTTCACAGGCAAGAATATTGCTGCTAGTAAGATTGCACCTAAATCAACCATTTATCAGATCATCAAGAACTTCAAGGAGAGAGGTTCAATTGTTGTGAAGAAGGCTTCAGGGCGCCCAAGAAAGTCCAGCAAGTGCCAGGACTGTCTCCTAAAGTTGATTTCAGCTGCAGGATCGGGGCACCACCAGTGCAGAGCTTGCTCAGGAATGGCAGCAGGCAGGTGTGAGTGCATCTGCATGCACAGTGAGGCGAAGACTTTTGGAGGATGGCCTGGTGTCAAGAAGGGCAGCAAGGAAGCCACTTCTCTCCAGGAAAAACATCAGGGACAGACTGATATTCTGCTGAGGACTGGGGTAAAGTAATTTTCTCTGATGAATCCCCTTTCCGATTGTTTGGGGCATCCGGAAAAAAGCTTGTCCGGAGAAGACAAGGTGAGCGCTACCATCAGTCCTGTGTCATGCCAACAGTAAAGCATCCTGAGACCATTCATGTGTGGTGTTGCTTCTCAGCCAAGGGAGTGGGCTCACTCACAATTTTGCCTAAGAACACAGCCATGTGACGAACAATGCCTTTTCCAGCATGATGGAGCACCTTGCCATAAGGCAAAAGTGATAACCAAGTGGCTCGGGGAACAAAACATCGACATTTTGGGTCCATGGCCAGGAAACTCCCCAGACCTTAATCCCATTGAGAACTTGTGGTCAATCCTCAAGAGGCGGGTGGACAAACAAAAACCCACAAATTCTGACAAACTCCAAGCATTGATTGTGCAAGAATGGGCTGCCATCAGTCAGGATGTGGCCCAGAAGTTAATTGACAGCATGCCAGGGCGGATTGCAGAGGTCTTGAAAAAGAAGGGTCAACACTGCAAATATTGACTCTTTGCATAAACTTAATGTAATTGTCAATAAAAGCCTTTGACACTTATGGAATGCTTGTAATTATACTTCAGTATGCCATAGTAACATCTGACAAAAATATCTCATAACACTGAAGCAGCAAATACTTGTGTCATTCTCAAAACGTTTGACCACGACTGTATGTCAAACAAAAACAATGATTACAAAGTTAAACAAACCATGTAACTCTATGCACAAGGACTACTTTTAATTTCCTCAGAAAATTGTACAAAAACACATTTACTTGAAGAACAGTGCAGATGCAAAGTTTGGTAACAGAATGACGGCACAAACAGCACAAATTGTCATTATGTTACCAAACTTTGCATCTGCGCTCTTCTTCAAGTAAATGTGTTTTTGTAAAATGTTCTGTGGAAATTGTTGAAAGTAGTAATTGTGCATGGAGTTGTGTGGTTTATTTAACTTTGCAATCATTTAGTTTGACAAACATTTTAAAGTCCCCGAGTCCCTGTTTCACTCTGTTATCGTGGAATTGTCCTATAGCTAAATCTTGGCCATGACTGACAGGCAACCAAAAAATTACGTTTGAAAGACCGCCAGAACTGACAAATGTCCCTGTCTTCTACAGATCCATGGAGCAGGTACCATGAGGCTGCACAGCAGGATCCTGCCCCTCTTCCTCCCCATCCTCAAGCCCCTAGCACGTCATAGGCCGCTCTGCTGCCTCCCAGCCAATGGCAGGCCAACCACAGCCTACATACTCATCCCCTCCTCCTCCCCCCGTCACCTGACCACCGACGTCCCCTCCTCCCAGCCCCTGGTTGGCCAAGACACAACGGTTGAAGTTCTGGGCCACTCCTACCCTCGTGATGACTTCACCAACGTGACCGCCAAGATCCTGGCCAAGGTGGGCTGCAACCTGCACAACCAAGCCCACCATCCTCTCTGGCTCATCAAAGAGCGAATCAAAGCCCACTTCTACCGCGCCTACATCATGCGCTCTGGCAACCCACTCTTCTCGGTCCACGACAACCTCAGTCCGGTGGTGACCACGGAGCAGAACTTTGACAGCCTGCTCATCCCACCCGACCACCCCAGCCGGAAGCGAGGGGACAACTACTACCTCAACCGTGGCACCATGCTGCGCGCACACACCTCCGCCCACCAGAGGGAGCTGGTGCGCTCGGGGCTGGACGCCTTCCTGCTGGCGGGCGACGTGTACCGAAGGGACGAGATCGACGCCAGCCACTACCCCGTGTTCCATCAGATGGAGGGTGTGCGCCTCTTCTCCAACCATGAGGTCAGTAGAGCAGAGCAACTGCTTGGTTCGGGGTTTGGCACGGTAGTGTGAAAATGGTTGTGGAGTTAAAGTACTGATACATTCAAACTAGACACAACACTGCCATGAGAAGCTCCAGTTGTATTGATTAGCTTCTCCTCCTAACCACAAGGTCTTCTGGGTAGTGTCACAACAAGGTCTAAGAATAGGACTCACAATGTAGGATGAATACAGTAGGCCATTGTTACACAGCGTGAAGAGCTACAGTTTTATCCATTTAAATATGCTGTGCTGAGTGCTGTAAATACTTTGATAAGTACTCTTAGATACACATACGTTAACTCATTCTACATTAAGTCCAATCATCTCACACACTAATGGCAATGTTAACAGCATTAGCAGAAGTGTTGTTTTGAAGAGTTGTCTCTGAAGTGTGTGTTTTTGTGTGTTTTTTTTTTTACCCCCAAGTTGTTTGCCAAGGTGTCGAGTGGAGAGGACCTGTCTCTCTTTGAGAGCGGGGGGCACCGGACCCCTCAGAAGCAGGAGACACACACTCTGGAGGCGGTGAAGCTTGTGGAGTTTGATCTGAAACAGACCCTTGACCATATGGTCAGACACCTGTTTGGAGAAGGTAAACAACATTCCAAGTTCAAGTTTGTATTATAGGGACATCCTACCTTCCCATGGGTCTTGAGAAGGAGAGAGGAAATGCAATACAAATTCTCCCTTAGTCCTTTAAGGCCAGTGGTCTCTAGAAGGAAAGGGAGGTTTTTTGATACTTTTGGGATCGGTCCCTCGCCCTTTGTCTCAACCCGTCCTTTCCTCTCCTCCATCTACCTTCATCTTCTCCTCTTTTTTCTGTGCCAGAGCTGGAGATCCGCTGGGTGGAGTGTTACTTCCCCTTCACCCATCCCTCCTTCGAGATGGAGGTGCGTTTCCAGGACGACTGGCTGGAGGTGTTGGGCTGTGGAGTGATGGAGCAGGAGCTGGTGCACTCTGGTAAGCACAGCTGTTGAGACACACACACATGCAAACACTCACACACAAACGCATGAACACAGACACACACTCATTCACTCTTCCAAACACACATGCAGTTACTATATGCATGAACACAAACATGCTTTCACAAGAAATTGCACTTTCATAGACATACATTCTTGGGCAAACTCATACTGTTGGTCTTGCATACACTTACTCTGTCTCACACATACAAATATGTAAAAATAAAAATAAAAATACCCTCACTTGCGCACACACACATACACTCCCTGCCATATGTATTTGGGAAGTGATGCTAACATTTTCAATTTGGCTCTATACTCCAGAATTTTGGATTTGACATCAAATGTTTCATATGAGACGACAGTACAGAATTTCTCCTTTAATTTGAGGGGATTTTCATACACATCTGTTGACCGTTTAGAAAATAGTATTTTGGACAAATTCACTTATAGGGTATTAAAGTACAAAAAAGTATATATACGCTACCTAGCTTTTGCAACTTTTTCAATCATCATTATTCATGATTAATTCATTATTTGTCTTAATCAATGCATTATCAGGATTAATTTAGAAGTGTTCACAAACATCTTATCTACACACTTAGAAAGAAAATTAATCCAGTCATCATTCACCATTCAGTTCCTATTGGGCAAAACATAACACAAAACACAACCAAAACAAATTACAAATGCATCCAACAAGTTTTTAGTCACAAGCTTGATGTTGTCATTGTGTGCTAGGAATATGGGACCAAATACTAAACCTTTGACTACTTTGAAACCCTATAAGTAAAATTTGTCCATATACTTATGACATCTTCAAATGAGGGGACTAGATATATATAGTGCTTTAATTTATGAACGGTAAAACAAATATGTATGAAAATGCCCTCAAATAAAAGGTGATTCTGTACTGTCACCTCATATGAAACATTTGATCTCAAATAAAAAAGAGAGTATAGAGCCAAATGTAAAATTTTAGCTTCGCTGTCTTAACTACATACGGACACCCACATAGGCAAACACAAACAAAAAAACAGACTGTACTCCACAGAATTGTATACTTAAGAGATAGCTCTCGCTGTATTGCCCTTGAACAAAGATGTGTGCTGACGCGTCTCAATAAACATCCCACTTATCTAGAAATCAATAATACATTAAATGGACGCCAAAACAACATGTCTCCCGTTTAGCTCCAGTGTTTGCTCTCTCCCCCCACCGAGGGCCCTTTGCTGTTGTGGCTAAGATCGTTGGGGTCAAACCTTTCTCCTCCGTCCTTGGTCCTCCTGCAGTGCAGTCACACTTCCTGCCTCCACCAGCAGGTGGCAGTGTTGTGCAACAGGGGGCAGAGCCAGAGGTGAGCCTGGGAGTGGTGGGAGTGTCCCATTTGGGGAGTGTGCGGCAAGAAGACACTCTCTTGTGCCCCAGGGAAGGGGAGCTGGTTCAGCGGCCCAGACAAAGGCTTGTTCCAGGGGAGAGGACCTGGAATGACCCCCTCACGCTGCAGCAGTAGCTCCCGTGTCTAGCGAGCCAGCCAGCCAGCCATCCACCCCCTGTTACTAAAGCCATTCGAGAAGAGGGAATAATGCAGAATCACTGAATCAGTACTCTTACTGTTTTCCTTCAGTGAAATATACAGAAGGCATCAACAGACTGTTCTGGTTGGCACGATAGTGTGAAAGCCACCCTGCTGTACTGCACATGCAAACAAGGCTTTGTTGAGGGCAAAACTCTGATTTGGGAAAAAATTTGGAAGAAGCATCTGTTCCTGGGAATGTTTTGAGATCTCCTGGTTCCGGCTCTGCAGTGCAGTGGAAAAACCCTCTCAGCTCCTAGCTTTTCACCTCCAGACATATTGATTAAACAGCCATGTCCAATCGGCTCAGGCTCTACCTGCCTGTGACACTGTCCCACAAGTACCTGATTCACATTATAGGGCCAAACTGAGCCAAGCTGTATGAGTTGGCCTGGTTACGCCTCCACCATAGTTGCTGGAACCATGCAGCCCTATAGTGTAAAACAGGCAAAGATGTTTTGGAAGTACTGTTTAGATATCTATAGCCTCGGAAGCCCAGGCTTCTCAGATACCATTCCAAAGCCTAGGGAAGTTCTCAAAAAGATGATAAAGTGGTGGAGTACGGTAGAGTCTAGATGGAAACGAGTGACACGCGTTGACACTTATCAAACCAGAGACTTTGTGTGTTTCTAAAACCAATTCTGACTTGCCGCAAGCATGCATAAGATACACTTGCTACTAAAACTTTGTCCGACTCAAGAGCTTCACTGCCTGTTTACATCTGGTAACAAATGTACTACCGGATCATAATCAGTGCTTCACCACTCCATTATCCAATCAAACCCACACAAAGTGTTTTGGATTGTATTAGCAATGTAATTTGGTGTTTTTGACAACTATTGTTGTCAAACATGACTGACTTTATGTGAAATATAGTTATGGTTTCTTCTCATATAAACTTTTTTTCTTTAATTCATTAAATGTAACACAAGGCATTATATTGTTAATAATATTTGAAACCTAGTAGCGTTGTTCATCAGGGCAAAATGTTTTGAAGAGCGTTGCAACGTAAAACGAAAACCAGCATTTCTTTTTGGATGAGTTCAGATAGTACGTCCTACGGTTGGGCGGTATCCAGATTTTCATATCATCCTTCTCTCATCCCGGGATTTACGGTATTACCGGTTTAGTACACAAGGGGGCGCCAAAAGACTAAAAGCCCATTGGGTGTCTATTACCAGAATGATAACAATTTGCAGAAGTAATAGCGAATTTCCATGGAGGCTACTAGCTAAATATGCTAACAAGCTTAAACTAAAATAAACGAATTGCAAAGACAGGCAATCCAGCTCATAAAGTTATACATACAGTATATAGCTAGGAGCTACCGAATGTCATTTTTGGTGAGTTTGGGCATTTACAAGCGAATGTGAACGAGAGACATTGAGCAAGGTTTTGACACACAGAACAGCACTGGCTCTTGAGCAGCATGTGTACATGCTGTGTCTGGGTGGAGTCTGGAGTTGCTAGGGCAATGGGCCTGCCTGCTGTGTTCAGAGAAGATGGGGGAGGAGCAGACTGGCCGAGAACAGAGAGGAGAAAAACACAAGGAAATCAAAATATAATAATAATAATAATAATAATAATGCCATTTAGCAGATGCTTTTATCCAAAGCGACTTACAGTCATGTGTGCATACATTTTTACGTATGGGTGGTCCCGGGGATCGAACCCACTACCCTGGCGTTACAAGCGCCATGCTCTACCAATTGAGCTACAGAGGACAGCAGTGGCAGCTGTACAGATAACTCATCCAAAGGTCTTTCACTTCTCAAACACGGCAGAAAGCTAATAAAATATGATGCCCCGTCACCTTATTAATTCAGCCACTTACTTAGATAACTAGCAAGTTAAACTTAGGGGTCACGTTAACGCAGAATTCTTTGTTTTTCACGCAGGGTAAAAAAGATAAAATGCATAAAAAATAGCTTGCTGCTTATTGTCATTTCTGCTCGGCATCAGACTGTTGTGCTTCAGTTGCACTTCTCCACTCAGATGAGAATTCACAAACGGGCATTTTATCAGCAGACAGCGCTATGACTGATGTGGAGCTACTTTTCTCCTGTACTTTTCTCAGTGCAGCCAGCCTACTTTTCTCCGGTAAAATGCAAGATTAAATTCAAGCAAAACATTAGGACATGTAGCCGGCTCATTCTTTCTATGATAAACATTAGCAATATGATGGCCATGCATTGTTTTTGCAAAAAAGACCTTGCTTTTTCATTGTAAGCTCATTTACTTGTGTGGCTGCCAGCCAAATAGCGTTGCACTTCTGTTGTCATCTGATGAAAATGAAGCTATTTTATGACGAACGTTGCGCTAATGTACAGTATTTTCTGTGAAGGAAAAATATACTTGCACGCCCCTGATCACTCTATTGAAGCAACCAAAAAAACACTTGACTTTCAATATAAAACGCGACCCCTGTCAATACACAGCTGGACTCACCTGCTCCTGCTTTCTCCTGTTGTGCTATTTACAAACATGATACTGTACCTCGAGACCCTTTGTGCGTTGACCATTGATGGTGCTACTGTCAACACTGTTCATTGGCTGTTGCCAGTGGAGACTGATCTGTTCCAATGACTATAATTGGGATTGTTTATGGCTCTGTAACCCCTGTTCTTCTTACCGGCAGCACTCTCACTGGGAAAATAAATAGGCATGCAAAACTGGGATGACCCATGATGTTGCTACGCTACACACTTGTATGTGTGTGTCACTTTTAATGGGAGTGGAGGTTGATTGCCTATCCATGGAAGTGTCCCGCTGCCCTATCAAGAGCATTGCTTTGCTGCAATGCGCTTGACATTAATCCACGGGAGAGGGTTGTTCTTCAATGACTTTGTCAAACTACACACAAACACAGACACACAAAACCACATGTGCCCACATATGCACACACAGACCCACACTTGTATTTTCTTTCCCAAGTTCCCTCTCACTCTTCACTGCAAGGACTTTGTTAACCACACGCTGCCACTCTCTCTCCCTCCCTCTCTAACGCACGCAGATACACACACCCACACTCTCACACACTAGCTCCTCGCTCATGCTTATTCGTACTCTCTCAACTCTGTCTCTCTCCCTCTCCCCCTATTTCTTCACTGCGGCAGATCAGTGCACCTCCCGTTACCAAGGCAACTCTTCATTCACCCCCCCCCCCCCCCCCCCCCCCCCCCCCCCCCACACACACACCCTCACAAACTCATACATGCACGCACACACTCCCCCTTTCCCTTAGGAACAGTGAGACAATAAGAAAAAGATGGCAGAGAGAGAGTGAGGGAAAGAGACAGAGTATTAAACGTGTGGGGTTCTCTCTCCAGACGGGACCAGCAGCCGGGATGGGGGGGGGGGGGTGTATTTATTTTTCTCTCAAGCGTGACCAGCCATATGTGAAGCATGGACGAAGCATGCCACAGGCTTGGAGGGATGAAGGATGAAGGAAGGGATGTGGGGTGGAAAGGAGGTCTCCAGTCTCCATTAGTGCTGGCGGTCCCACTTAGATATTCATTAGAGTGCCGGGGTTTAATCCCTTTGCACGCAGGGATTCCACAGGGAGCTGAAGGGTGGGCAATGGTGTGTGTGGTGGAGAGGGGGTGCTACTGAGGGGCCTCCCCAGAACCTGGCCACAGCATATGGGACCCGGTGTTAATGACGGCACGTGTCACCCCCCCCCCCCCCCCCCCCATCAGTTTAGTCACGCCCCGGAGGGCACGGTAGGCCCCACCAATGTGATTAAAATCGTGTTCGGGTGACAATTAGCGTCCCTTCAAGTCCCCGTGCCAGAGGGCCCCGAGTACCCAAGGGACAGCAGAGGGGCGTGGGGCGTGTAGATAGACTGGTGGGATTGAGGGCGGGGGGGTGATGGTTCGGAGGGGGGCATTGGTTCAGGTGGCACCTTCAGTCTTACCCTTTATCCTGAATAAATCATGTGCCAATTTTGACCCGTCCCCTCTCGACGTCTCCACCCTCATTACACCACCTTCTGTCAGATCTGGGCTTTTTTTTCTATTTATTTTATGAGTTGACGATTTTAATCAGTCCCAAATCCCCACGTCCCCCCGGCCTCTGACTGACGCCTTTCTTTTCTTTGATTGTTAATGCCAGTTCCTCCTCGTGGGAAAAGGACAGGGTAAAAAATGGGAGAGGGAAAGAAAGCTACGCTGATGAGTGATTAGGAAAAGATGGAGATAGAGATTGAGAAAAGGAAGGAAGGATCGATTAAAAACAATAAATATCTCGGTACAGGCAGGGATCAGTATCTCTACCGAGAGACAAAGAGAGAGACTGCACTATACAAACAGAATCGCTAGAGACTAAGGGAGAGAGAGATAAAGAGATGGGGGAGGGAGAGAGAGAGAAACCAGTCAACGCTGTGACCCCTCATGTTTTGTTAAGGTGGCGACTCCTCCCACTCTCTGGCCCCTAACCCTAAAGCAATTGGCAAGCGGCCCTCCTCCCCCTTCCGTCACCTTCCCCTCCTCTAGCCACAGTCCCAGTGGTCCCACTGCAGGCAATCACTAGTGGGACAGAGGATGGAGACAGCTGGTCCATACACACACACACACATACGCCAACTACCACTCCCTGTCCCCTGAGTCTGCAGGGAACAGAAAAAACAGTAGTTTGTGCAGCGTTCCATTTGAGCCAGCTTGCCTTCGCAGGGGCCAAATAGACCCAGACATTTTAAGGAGAGAAAGAAAAACCGAGAGAAAGAGGGATCGAGAGAGGGCGAGAGGATGTCATTGAGAGGGCAAAGTGGAGTTAAAAGCAGGAGAGTCAGTGTGGCCTAATTAACACACTGGCTTGATACAGTGCCTTAGGTCACCTTTGCGAATACATGTCATACACTGAGTGTACAAAACATTATGAACACCTGCTATTTCCATGACATAGACTGGCCAGGTGAATCCAGGTGAAGGCTATGATCA